GGAGAAAGGGAGAGAAAGAGAGGGAGGGAGGGAGATGGAGAGAGGGCAAAAGAAAGAGGGAGAGGGAGAGAAAGAGGGAGAAAGAGACGGAGGGAGGTTGCCAAGGGACACTCCCTTCTTCCCTGCCTCTTGATCCCCTCTTGCAGCCACGCAGCGGGATGAGAGTGGGGCAAAGCAAGGGAGCCCGGGAAAATAGTTCGAACCCACTCCAACCCATCCCAAGCTTTCTCCTAACCAGCTGTGAAAATAGGCATGGAAAGAGAAGGGTGGCTGTGGAGCATGGGTGGAGGGAGCAGCTGGATGCAGTAGCCCTTTCTCCACATCTGTATGGTCATCTGGCATCAGCTTCTCCCTCCCCCTCCCCAGTCAATGTGGGGGGAGGGGAAGGCAGGGTGGGAAAGGTTTGCAGTGCTGATTCAAGGGAGTCGCCGTTGTCACAAATTAAGCGGAGTGCCCCCCCCCCACTCTTTTGGTGGCTTTAAGACACCCCTTCCTTGGGGGGTCCCCTCCCCCCCCCAAAAAATCTGGGTGTGTCTTACTTGGCTGGAGTTCAGGAAGAAAATTTTCCCCCAAGGGTTGAAACCAGCCAGCCCTCCACCCTGCTCCCTAACTTCCTGGATGCTTTCCAGACCCAGACGACTACAGCCCCCATCGTTCCCAGCATGGTTTCACCCTCTCCTTAAACAGACACGCCAACAACCGCACGGTATAACCAATAATAGATGAGATCTCCCCTCCTTTCCAGAGCAAGGAGGGAGATACCCCACTTCTGCAGCGGAGGGAGTGGGGGGATGCGATCTGTGGCGGGAAAAGCTCCCCCAGTTGAATTTCAGCCTGCCACATAGTCCTCCCGCTCACCCCCAGAAGAGATTCAACCTAGAAATAAGAAATGGTTTTCTGACAGGGAAAGCAATCAACCCATGGAACGGAAGTTGTCTTTGGAAGTTGTGGGAGCTTCATCACTGGAGGCTTTTTGTTGGCCATTTGTTGGGGATGGTGTAGAGTCTCCTGCTTGGGGGGGGGGTTGGACTAGATGACCTACAAGGTCCCTTCCAACTCTTGTTAATCTATATCTGTAGTCATAATGGGCAGGACGGAGCAACAAAGATGATTAGGGGCCTGGAGGCTGAAACATACCAAGAATGTTTGCTGGAATTGGGTACGACGTCTAGTTTAATGGGAAGGGGTATCTTAAGAGCCACCAAAGGGTCCATCCACCTTAATTGATGCTAGCAATAACCCCTTGCATCAGCACCGCCACTTTTCCTAGCCGGCTTTTGGCTGCATCCATTCCCAGGGGCTGCGTAGAGACTCCCATGGTTGAAAAAGTAGGTGGCCAGGATTTAAGTGGAAGGTACGGGAAAGCTAGAAGGAAAAACCCACCTGTTAAGACTGAAAAAAAAGCTTGTGGTTTTAATCTGAGCCTGGGAAAATCAGATGGACATATCCAGAGTATTTCTCTTCTGCTGCCCCGGCCGGACCTCATCCCCACATTGAGTTTCCCTATCACTTTCCTAGGCGTTTCATGGACAAAATTCTTCCGTGACTCAAAGTCAAGCAGGCAGCAATTTCACACCCCAGGCATCTCCCCAGCCTGAAAAGCGCCCCACGGTTTCGGATCGGCTCTGGAAGTCCAGCAAAGGGAGTCACCGTGGCTCTCTGGAAGCTGCTGCATCTGTCGGCAAGGATAGAAAGGAGAATGATGGAGCCAGGAGATGCTACCACAGTGAGTTTTATCTTCATGGTGGCGGGGTTGGCTGAGAAAACGTTTTGAGTCTGCTTTCCACCATCCCAGGGGCCTTCTAAGGCAGCGCCCCACAACGTTTTGGGTACCAGGGGCTGGTTCCGTGGAGCAGTGGTCTCCAACCAGTGGGCTGGAGACCACTGGTGGTCCGCAAGAAAATGTTGGTGGTCCGCAGGGAAATGTCCCCGCCAAATCACCCCCCCCCCCCAAAGCAATCCAGCTGCACGGGAACACAAGGCCTTTTGTTGCTTGCATTGCAAAAACACGAGGTAGTGAGGGGAGGGGGGAAAGGGTGGAGGGGGGGGGAACTTGCCCCACTTGCCCCACGTGCCTGGCCTGGCCACCGGCCTGCTGCTTTCCGCTTCTTTCTTCTTCTGCTTTTGGCTGCATGCAAGGAAAGCAGCAGAAGTTTTTCTTTCTCTCCCCCAAACTCCGCCAGAAATGAGTCTTTGGGACCCTGCAAGGCATCCTGCTTCAAGAGGCTGCGCCGGTGTGACTACTCTCACAAAGACTCATTTCTGGCGGACTTTGGGGGAGAGAAAGAAAGACTTCTGCGGCTTCTGCTGCTTTCCTTGCATGAAGCCAAAAGTCTCCCCCCCCTCCCCCGAGAGCAGAGCTGAAGACGGTATCCTGCAATCCCCAATAAAGAATGATTGATTGGTAGGAAAACGAGGTGGGGAATTTTCCTGCAGACTTTTTTGGGGGATTTTCCCAGGGTCTCTGGTCTGCGGGATTTAAAATGATGAGTTTGGTGGTTCCCTGAGGTCCAAAAGGTTGGCGATCCCTCCCGTGGAGAGATTTCCAGGGACCGGAGGAGGCATGGTTTCGTGTGCAACTTGCATCCCACAGATGGGGCTTCACTTAGTTTGTGTGGCCTGGTTTCCAGCATGCTATGGCCTGATGCTGGGGTTGTGGGGGACCCCTGTTCTAAGGCATGTATGGTGGACGAGTGTCAGAATCCAGGACCTCTGAAGGGTACAAGATTGGGGGAAGGAGGTTTGACAACAAAATCAAGAGTTCTCGGTGGAGAAAACCTGGCTTAGCTTTCACGTCTCTGCCTTGAGGTCCAGATTCCGTTGCTGATGCCCCAGTGGGAAAACGCAGCCCACAGAGATCCCAAAGCACATAACCAGGAAGCAGGGAGCTGGGGGCAGCTTATTGCTAGCCTAGGACTTCCCATTCTGGAGTGTAAACATTCAGGCAACCACCAGTGGGCAAGGCAGATCTTTTTTTCTTGCTTCCTGATCAAGTAGCTCTAATTTTGCAGATTTTCAGGGAGACCCTGGCCATCTTTACGCCGGCTCCTTCTCTGATTGCAAATCTCTTCCAAAACTCCACAAGCCCCCCGTTTCTGACACTTCCCTGTGCAAAAGTAGAAAGATGCAAAAAAAAAAAAAAAAAGACACAAAGCATTGGAGATGTTGGTGCCCTCAAGCCAGTTCTCCGAAGTCTGTCTGGCCAAGGAGGAGGAGGAGGAGGAGGAGGAGGAGGAGGGAATTCCTGATTCATTTGCATAGAATGACGCAGGTGGTTTGATGTCATGTGAACTCTTGGACCAACAACGGAGCTGTTTGTTTGGTTCCTGGAGGTTGGCACCCTCTGGAGAACTCAAGAGCTAAACAAGCCACTTTGATGGACTTTGGATTTATTTTGCATTTTGAACTCTGATACGGGCAGCTTGTGGCTCTTCCATGAATTTATAAAAGACTTCATAGGGACAGCTGCAACGAGGGAGCAAGCTTCTAAATAGCAGCCCCCAAGAGGAAGAAGAGACCTTCTGCTTCCAAGTTTTAAGAAGCATTAGCCACTTTCCCTGAGCGTTAAAACTTGGTTTGCAGGCTAGTGTTCTTTCAAACGTATGCAGAGTGCTATCTTCCCTCGAAAAGACAGCTTGCTTGCTAGGAATGAAAATTTAGAACTTATCTGCTGCATGGCTTTCAGCCCTTAGAGGACGCACATACAGTACAGGTTGTCCTCGACCTTACAACCACAACTGTGCCCCAAAATTTCTGTTGCTAAGTGAGTTTTTCCCCATGTTACGACCTTTCTTGCCACCGTTGATAAGTGAATCACCACCGCTATTAAGTTAGGGAACCTGGCTTCCCCGATTTCACTCGTCAAAAGGTTGCCAAGGGGGAAATCATATGACCTTGTGACGCAGCAACAGTCATAAGTGTGAGTTGATCTCGCAATCCTGGGGATGCTAACAAGGTTGGTTGTAAGTAGGAAAAATGGTCATAAGTCTTTCTTTTCAGTGCCGTTGTGACTTTCAACGGTCACTAAATAAGTTGAGTACTGAAGATTAGACAGTCTGCTAAAGTTCATGATCTCCAGATGAGAAATTATCTCTCTTCTAGAAAGGGATCTAAATTACTTCCTTCTGCGGCCAATGGTGGAGTCAATTTTGAACTGTTTCCTCTTTTTGATAAAGGCCTCAAAGTGCAACTCGTGTGTTTTAGTCACAGACAGATAAGGCACAGAAATAAACGGTGTCTCACAGTGTTCCTGATTTATCCAAATATTGCCATTTTTTCACCTAGAAAAAGGAGGTTTTTCTTCCTTCCTTTAATTTTATACCCATTTTTATGGACTTCAAAGCATCCTGGAACACAGTTTAACAAAAAATCCCAAGTGACTTTAATTTTACAAAATAATTCAAAAGCATCCGATGACAGCAAGAGATACGAGACATTTACAAAGAGTGTTCGACCATGGAAAACTGAGAGTTAGAAGGGAGCCTGAGCAGACATTCCTAGCAAGCAGATTCCAAAGAAAAGATGGTTTATCCCCACCTTTCTTTTTTTAAACACCATGTTTAACTACATCCTGTACTCGTGTTCAGACAACTAAAATAACCTTTGACAATTTGGCCTGGAACTTCAGAGGTCTTACTGTTTAAATATATTTCAGATCAAAACTGCCTAAAAGAAACAGTGTGGGAGAAAGCAAATTATAGTGAATATCGATAATTAGCAAGTCACAATCGAGGCATTTAACACATTAAAAAAAAAATCAAATTTCCCTGTTGCCCGCATGTGTTCTGGCTTCATATTTGTTCTCGCTTGTCCCAAACATTGCTTGTGAAGTCCGTGTCTCGGTCACAGAACATGCGTGCAAAAGAGCCTTCTGTGCTGTCTCACCTGAACTTTTAACAATAAACATGGGAATTACCTCCATAATCTGTTCTCCTTGCTATTCCCCGCAACTCCCCAAGATCTGAAAATATTGCCATTGTCCCGTGCAATGATCAGCAGCATTTATGGTGCAAGTGTAAACATACAGCTTTCAGAAAATACATAGAAACAGAGAAAATCCCTCCCTTCTAAAACAATATCAAAGCATAAAAGTGCTAAATGAAGAGCCCTGGGCTAAGCCACCCCCCTCATCATACTAAATCAACTGCGATGCTACTGTTGGTTACTTTCACCGCGGACCGCCAACCCACTCGGTGCTCAAAATCGATATAGCGCACTCCAGACGGATAATTGTCAAAGATGTACGAAACCTACAGAGGAGAAAAACACATGAACAGTTGGATCTGGAGAAGGAGGGAATAGGAAGGGGGTTGGGGGTGGAAATTGCTATAAAATGCAAAATCTACCTTTGGTTGCTAGGGGTTTATTTTAATTCCTAGAACACGGCAGCGTTGGAAGGGACCTTGTAGGTCATCTAGCCCCACCCCCTGCTTGAGCGGGAGAGTCAACTCTACACCGTTTCGGACAAAGGGATGTCCAATGTTTTGTTTTACCTCCCGCCATTCTTCCACCGTAGGCACTCGTTCTCGGACTTCAAACATCTTGCAGTAATCTTGGAGGACTTGGCAATCGGCAGAGAGCAGCTTCACCGTCAGCTGGTAGTGGGAATTGTCCACATTAAAATACCTGTTTTTCCAGAGGAGAAAAAGAGGACAGAAAGCAGCAAGCATCAGCTGGCTGCTTCCAAAGGCCATTTTGGGTCTGAAATAACGTAGAGCAGAGGTCTCAAAACTTGGCAACTTGAAGACTTGTAGACCACAAGTCTTCAAGTTGGCAAATTTGGGGACCCCTGATGTAGAAGGTATTGTAGGAGGCAAAGTAAAAACCATCTCTTTGGACAGCCTAATGTTGGAAGGAAAAAACAACCACCACCTTTCCCTCCAGCTTAACTTATATCCTCTAAATCAGGGGTCTTCAACCTTGGCCACTTGAAGAATTGCAGACTTCAACTCCCAGAATTCCCCAGCCAGCCATGTCCACAAGTCTTCAAGTGGCCAAGGTTGAAGACCCCGGTTCTAGAATGATAAAACGGTCGATCTCATTTTAACCAGCTATCTTTGCTCTCTTGAGTTCTGGGCATCGGAGGTGGGTCTTCAGCCGGTTCTGAGCGGTTCTGGAGAACCAGTAGCGGAAATTTTGAGTCATTGGGAGAACTGGCCAATCCCACCTCTGACTGGCCCCGCCAACCCCATCTCTTCTCTGCCTCCCATTGAGTCCCAGCTGATCGGCTGGGTCTCCTATGGTTGCCCTGCCCAGGAGAACGGAGCTGGAAAGCAGGTTAGGGGGGGTGGGGAGGGAAGGGGGATTTTGCAGTATCCTTCCCCTGCCACGCCCACCAAGTAATAAAAATAATAAAAAAAATTGAATCCCACCACAGCTGGGCATGAAGAACCCAGCCCTAACCCCAAGCATATTTGGCAGGCAGTAAGGACTAGAAACTTGATTGTTCTCCCCCTTCTTAAGTGAAATACAACATTTGGGGAAGCCGAGTTTTCTTCTCAAGAGAATATTTGGGACGCTTTGAAGAAAGAGAACCCATTCATCATCATACAATTCACTCCCATCCCCCCCTTTTTTTTTTGCATTCTACAGCACTCACCAATCCTTCACCATGATTTGGGGCTTCATTTCATCCATTACCCAGTTTGGGATCCCTTTATCCTTCAAGGTGACCCGTTGTGCCTTCTTCACAAAAAACCTAAAAGAGAGGTAACATTCCTCGCCTGGAGAAGGCAGTGGAGGAGCCAGAGAGGGTCAGAAGTCAGAAGCCCCTGAACGAAATCCCCCTTCTGCAGGCTGTACGGCCCTCGACTTATGACAGTTCACCTAGCTGACCGTTTTGAAGTCACAACAGCCCTGAAAAAAGGTGACCTGGGACCATTTTTCACACTTAACGACCATTGCGGCATCCCCACGGTCACACGATTTACATTCGGACGCTTCACTGACCCACATCGATGATGGTCGCAATGTCCTGGAGTCATGCAAGATCCTCCATTTGCGACCTTCTGACAAGCCAAGCCAGATTCACTTAACAACGATGTTGCTAATTTTTAACAACCGCAGCGATACTGTCAAGATTCTGGCAGTTCCCCCCATTTAAATGAGTCTTGAATCAAACTTCCAAAACTTCAAAAGGATTTATTGGGAGTTAACATGCCGGCACTGCCTGGGTGTAGCTGACTCTGTGGCACATCATTCATGGTCACCCTTGACCCTGGTTTCCCACCCCCACCCCCTGGGTGTATCCTAATTCATATCCTCCAACATCCATAGCCCAGAGTCATCAATCCTGCTCTCCAGTTAGAATTTAGCTCAGTAGAAACTTCAGTCACCTAGAAACTATCTTTGAAAAACTATGGAATGCGCTTTTGATTTCCGAGCTGCCGCACTGCTCTTTCAAACCCCCCCCCCCCCCCACGCCCTTTCTGTTGGCAACTCTAAAAAAAGACCATAGAAATGTTTTACAAGTTGACAGATACACTGAACCAACATGGCAAGAAAAATCGCAAAATGGAGCACTAGTCACTTAACAAATTTCTCACTTAGCAATACAAATGTTGAGTTCAATTGCGGTCGTAAGTCAAGGACTACCTGTACAATCTCAGACTCTTTGCACAGGCCTGGTTGGACCTGGGGTTGGTGGGGGGGCATCACTCCTTCCCAATTCCTGGGAAGACAAAGCCCCGGATGTAACCCTGTTATCAAAATTTAAAATACCTCAGGCCGCCATTTTGATGCCATGTTGGGACAAAGCACGTCCAAACAGTGTCTGGAAGAGGAGATTTGCGTTTTTTCCTAAATATCTTGGGGAAATGCCTCTTGAACCCTCTGGGGATATCCTCGGGCATCCAGTCTGCCATCCAGTCCGCAGAACGCAGTTCCCAATATCTCAGCCCCGCTGCAGGAATGGAGGAGGAGAAGAAGGAGAAAAAAGGAGAAGAAGATAAAGAAAAAGAAAAAAAAGAAAAAGGAGAGGAGGAGGAGGAGGAGACGAAGACAGAGATGATGGAGGAGGAGGAGGAGGAGGAGGAGGAGGAGGAGGAGGAGGAGGAGGAGGAGGAGGAGGAGGAGGAGAAGAAGAAGAAGAAGAAGAAGAAGAAGAAGAAGAAGAAGAAGAAGAAGAAGAAGAAGAAGAAGAAGAAGAAGAAGA